GACGGGGTGAAGGGTGGGTGGAAAGCCGTATGGGATGGGCCACTTGCTGCCACCCAACCCTGTCCCCAGAGTCCCCAGACAGGGCTGGTGGCAGAAGGGGTTTCCCCGTGCGGAAGGCGCTGCGAGGGCTTGCGCGGCTGCAGCACCTGAGCGGCACAGCTTGTGTGGAGCTGGTCTTGCCTCTCCCTGGGGGCCCCTGCGTGCCCGAGGGCCTCGGTCAGTTGTTCCTGAGTAGGACACATCTTCTCTCCACTCAAGCTACTGCTTTGGAGCACCCAGGACAGAAAATAAAACGCAAAAATTACAGGCTGAAACCAAAACCTTAAATGGCCCCAGGGTATCACAGAATCACTGAAGGGTTTGGGTTGGAAGGGACCTTGAAGACCACCCCCTGCCCTGGGCAGGGACCCCTCCCACCAGCCCAGGTTGCTCCCAGTCCAACCTGGCCTTGAACACCTCCAGGGATGGGGCAGCCACAGCTTCTCTGGGTAGTTCTTTAATTTTTCATAATTTATTTTTGAAAATTTCAATTACCTTCCCAATCGCAATAAACTTGGGGAAATTGCCCACAGCTGGAATTTCTGCTCTCCCCACAGCTCGCACCCCCAGCCTGTTTGCCGTGGCTGTGCTCGGGGCGGGGGGAGGTCTGCGATGCCCCACTGCGCCCCCAGATTGCGGAAAGGATGGTGACAGAAAGCTGGTTTAATGCACAGTACCTTCATTTGATCTTGCTTAATTTAAGCAAAGGGAGTGTCTCTCAGGTTCACCCCACTTGTGTTGAGGTCCCGGTGTGACCGAAGGCAGCAGACCCCACCGGGGGTGTCTCTGGGGGAGTCCCAGTGCTCCGCAGCCCCCTCCTGCCCCTGGAGAGGGACGGGACCCCCCGTCGGTCCCGGGAACGGCCCTGGCAGCAGAGATGGAACTTTCCAGAGGCACAAAGAGGCACTGACTGCAGAGAAGGAAGCACAAAAACAACTGCAAATATTCGGAAATGGGAATACAGAAAAATTATTGACAGAGCGCCATATTATATCATTGATTTTTAAGCAAAACTCCCCATCGATTTTTCAGAACCGCATTGAACATTTCAGAATCATTGATTTTAATGGGGAGTTCTGCCCCAAAATCAATGGCGCAATACAGCCCAAAGTAAATTGCTTCTTAGTATCAATATTTTTTGTCTGAGCTCTTGCAATGTGGAGAACCATCTTAAAACGTGCATCTTTTGTTTTCGCCTGTTTTCCTAGATGCTCTTTGAATTCTGCTTTTATAGAGAGACTGGAGGGGAAGGGCGGCTTGTACCGACCGGTGGGACCATCAGCGGCGCCGGGTGGGCTGCGCGGCCCCGGCAGGGAAAGACCCGCTGGTGCCTGGCGGTCAGACCGGGCTCTTTCCCCGACCCCCGTTTTCAGGCCGGTTTTCGGGTCGGAGCTGGCGTTAGGGACATGGCGCATCCCAGAGCGGCAAAGCGGGGTCACCCCGCAGCGTTTGCCCTGACAGGTCTGGGCTCAGCGCCCTTTTCTCACCGCACCAGGCACAGGGCCAAGGTAATTCTGGTTTTGTAGAAAATCAGGTGTCCCTTTGAGCCAGAGGAAGGCAGTGCTGGAGGCGCCGGCTGCCGCCCCCCCTGCCGGGACAGGGAATGGCACCTGCGTGGCGCACCGCCGCGGCTAGACTCTTCCTTCCCCTCTCTTTGGCCCAAAATCTTCCTGCCTCCAT